GATGTTCTGGTTGTTTTACTGTCCTTCGTCGGCAGGTTTTTTGTAATATACATATATTTCATTTCAATATCAAATGTTCTCGTCACGATATGGCTGAAATATTGCCGATGTGACGTTAAATATTAACTCACTCACTCACTCACTCAACTTACGGACCACACGATTTGTAGAGACATTGTCGGTGACCCATGACGTGTTGTGCCATATGACCTCAGTTGGCGATTCTGATTCTTCTGATATTGGGGCAGATCACAAAATGCTGACATTTCAGCAGGCGGACCCTTCAATCTGCACGATTGTTGGACTTCTTCGCAGTGGTGATCGTCCTTCAAAGGAAACAATTAAATCCTTCGACCGTGAGACAGCCAACATTTTACGTCATTGGGATTCACTGTGCCTCACAAACAATCTTCTGTGGAGACGGCAGGGTAAAAGTGGCGATCCCTACTTTCAGACGATTGTTCCCCAAACTCAGACCATCATCACACATCTTCATGATGGAATGGGACATCTTGGTAGGGATATCGGACTGTAGCGCTTCTCTGTACCAGGTTCTTTTGGCCTGGAATGATGGGTGATGTGGAGGACCACATCAATAGTTGTCAGCGCTGCATTCTCAGGAAAGCTCCCAATTTGACAGAAAGAGCACTTCTTGTGAATGTACAGACGTCGCAACCAATGGAACTGGTCTGTATGGACTTTCTTTCACTCGAACCATCGACAGGTGGTTACGAAAATGTCCTAGTGATATCTGATCATTTCACAAAATATGCCGCTGCTATACCTACTCGGGATCAAACAGCAAGGACAACTGCAAAAGCACTGTTTGAGAACTTTATTGTTCATTATGGTGCACCAGGCAGGTTGCATTCCGATCAGGGGCGTAATTTCGAGAGCGATGTGATCAAGCAGCTCTGTGGCATTATGGGCATTAAGAAGTCTCGTACAACCCCTTACCACCCAATGGGGAACGGCTTGGTTGAACAGTTTAACCGCACGCTTCTTGGGATGCTTGGTACACTGCATGACCATGAAAAGGCAAGGTGGAAAGATCACTTATCTCACATGGTCCACGCCTACAACAGCACAGTTCATGAGTAAACCGGGTTTTCTCCTTTTTACCTCATGTTTGGTAGAAATCCAAGACTACCTGTCGACGTTGCATTCGGCTTATCTTTGGCTACCCCACCTCCATCCGCTTATACGCAGTTTGCTGCTGATTTGAAGCGCAAATTGAATTCTGCATATCAGTTGGCATCATCAAACCTTGAAAAGGCCCGAGCAAAGCAGCAAAAAGCTTACAATCTGAAAGCTCGTGGTGCAACAGTCAAGGTTGGTGACGTGGTGTTGGTTCGCAATGTTGGCATTCGAGGTAAACAGAAGCTTGCCAATCGGGGGGAAGAAGATTTCTATGTCGTGGAGGCACAACCGAATGTAGGCATTCCAGTTTTTAATGTCTGTAAGGATGGGACTGCTGAATGTCGTGTTCTCCACCGCAACATGCTTCTCCCGATTGGTACAGACGGAAAGCCAGTTGCCTAGCCACGCAGTCCTATGCCACTGTTAAATGTGCCCGACATCTCGGTTGAGTTGTCTCAGTCCCCTCTTGAGTTGTCCTCATCCGATCTGGATGTTGGAATTTTCGACACTTCAGAGGCTGACACTTCTGCAACTCAGCAGCCGGACACATCCCTGTTGCTTAAGGTTTCCTTTGATGTGTTACCTGTCCTCTAATTGGCTATTGTGTCCCCCTGTCTACTTCCTTTGGCATACCTGTCTTCCACCTCACTCCAATTGCTGTTGCTGAGGTGGAAACATCTTTTCTTTCTTCAGGTATGGCCATTTTCTAATCCTTTTCCATCTGCCTCAATTTTATCTTAACTTCTATATAAAGGTGCTTAAATTAATTCAAACTGTAATTTAAAAACTATTAAGGGTAATATTTAATTTATAATTTTAAACTTTAAAACAATTAATTATAACTTGTAAACATTGTATTGACCATGTACATGGACCATGTGCATGGACCATGTGCTCTCCATACATTTACAATGTAAGTCCCCATGGTTCCTAGTATGGTGCTCTACCTTCAGTTGTTGGCGATCAATAGCCTGTTTTTATATTGTATCGTCTTGTATAGTTCAAATGTTTTAGATTTAGTTACTAGTTTTATATCTGTATCTGTGATACCCTAGTTGTTTTACTGTCCTTCGTTGGCAGAATTATCATTTAACTTAAATTCTTGATATATTTATAACTTGCTTTAGTCACGATATGGCTGAAATATTGCCGATGTGACTTAAAATCTTAACTCACTCACTCACTCACCCATACATTTACAAATTTGTTTTGCAAAAGGTTTATTGATTACTTTGGCTAACTGATACTTGTTTACAATGCATAATATAGTTAATGTAAATTTATTATTTTACTGACTCCAATTGCTGTTGCTGAGGTGGAAACATCTTTTCACTATTCACTATGAATCACTATTAAATAGTGGTGATACCAGAACAGCAAAATAATGTTCAGTAAGGTGAAAACTACCTCAACTCCTACTTTTCCGTGGTCTGTAGGAAACAATTTAACGGGTTTAAGGTCATTTTGTCGTAGACGGTTCTGAAAGGAATGTTGTTTTAGTTTGTTGTTTTCGTGTCCTTTTTTCGTTTCCTGCTTTTTCGGTTATCGTATGGATATTATTTTGTGTGTGTTTTTTGTTTGATGCTTTTTGGTGTTGTGTTTTTGGGGGGAGCTCGGTGTCAGAATGTGCTTCTAAGTGTCCTCTCTGCTGTTTAATAACAAATGTATTAGCATTTCGGTTTCTGAAAATATTTTACTTTGTGATTTGAAAATCGAGGAGTACTTCAATTCACACTATTCCTCTTCAAACTAACCAGCTGGAATCAATTCTAAAAAAGATGTTAGTCTCCTCTGACGACAAGCATGGGTTGCTGAAGATTTGATCCCATGCTTGTCGTAAGAGGCGATCATGTGGTCAAGTTGCTGACATTTCATTGTATCCCAACTGCGTAGATCGATGCTCATGCTGTTGTTGACTGGTCTGTCTGGGCCAGACACTATTATTTACAGTCCCCTGCCATATAGCTGGAATATTGCTTAGTGCGGTGTTAAACACCAACCAAGCAACCAAATCTCAACAAGTCATATTGTGATTCACAATTTCATATAAAAATCATATTTACCCTCTGCTTTAGACTTCCAACGCAGGAGTCCATGCAGGTAGCAAAGGCATCGTAAGTCCCCATGGTCCCTAGTATGGTGATCTACCTTCAGTTGTTGGCGATCTATAGCCCAATTTTACATTGTTTTGTACAGAAATAATTTTCTACTTTTAAAGATATATGCTTACTAGTTTTAACTCAATCTGTGATAATCTAGTGATTTTACTGTCTTTCCTTGACAGGGTTTTATATATTATATGTATGTATTATAAATTTAGAACTAGTTTTAGTCCCGATATGGCTGAAATATTGCCGATGTGACTTTAAATCTTAACTCGCTCACTCACTCCAACGCAGGACTGTTCATGACCAAGTGTCAGCGTGGATGTCGTTAAATTGAGTTATTCTGGCATTTTACTGACACTTCTTTCAATTAGCATCTTCACACATCATCTGCAAGAGTTTCAGGCTACAAATTGAATATGACATCGCTGTTATGTGATATGCTTTCTCACTCTTCTTCTAGATGACACTGCCTAGCAAAGAGGAGACAATGGATCCCTGTAACGAACCTGATACTATAGACGTGTACGAGATGACTGAGGGTAAATCTGAAAACGATGGCTGCAGTACAACTCTGCAGCAAAGAGTCAAGTGGAATTCACGTCTGAGCTACCTTCTTTCCTTAGTTGGATGTTGCGTGGGATTTGGAAATTTGTGGAGGTTCCCTTATATCTGCAACAGGAACGGTGGAGGTAAAACCCTATCGCTTTGTTCGTTTCTTTGTTTAACGATATCCCTGCAGCATGCCCGCGGCCCCGTGAATTTTCCAGTCCAGAAAGTCTAGACTAGATAATCTATGCAGTGATCGACATCATGAGCATCGTACAGTGACATGCTCAATCCAAATCAGCGACACTGACCGTCCGATACTGTCAGTTGCATCCAACGACAAGCATAAATGTGACGTATGACAAGTATGGGTTGCTTCAGATAAACTCTAACTCTCGGATCTTTACATGGAATAAAATCAGATGAATTTGGATACGTATTGTGTATTGTATTGTATTGTATACCCTATGTTGAATACATGATCTTATTTAGATCTTTGGCACTAATGAATCCATTTGTTTCTTCAACAGGAGCTTTCCTCCTGCCGTTCTTCCTCTGCCTCTTTGTGATTGGATTCCCAATGTTCTTCCCGAGGCAGCCCTTTCTCAGTTCTCGGGAATGGCAACCCCTCGCGTGTGGAGTTTTTGTCCTATATTGAAAGGTTGGCACATCTCATCATCCAGATCTCGAAAAACGTCTATACAAGTAACAGTCTAAAGATGAACATATATTCCGTTTTATTGGAAAATAATTTAATAGTTGTTGAAGAATATGACACATGTACAGTGAATGTTAATCCTTGAGGTTCTCGCAAACAACCTTTCTCTGAAGCTACCTCGGGGATATAATATTTTCAAAAGCTTCAGTTGGGCTGACATTGTCCATTACTATGGACGTGGTACTCTATTAAGAGTAGAAAGTTTAACTGGAACTTTCAGTGAAGAGAGGTTGATATGCATGCATAAATATTTCCCTCCACCTCTTACTGCCTTAAAGCATAATTGATCATTACTGGAACATTGATTACAGAATTAACATAAATACATATATCCTACTACGTTTAGTAGTCACAAAAAGAAATCAAACACGAATGTCATGATTGAATATTATGATTTATTATATTTAGGCGTTGGCATCGGGACTCTTTTGACGTGCACTGTCTTCATCCCAAGCTACAATATCCTCCTGGCGTGGCCCATTTATTACATGGTGAAGTCCTGTTCCAGCGTTCTGCCCTGGACAACTTGTGGCAACAGCTGGAACACTGATCTGTGTGTGGAGGCTGTGACGATTGGCACCTTCAACAGCAACAGGACCTTTGTAGGGAATGCATCCAGTCCTGAGGGAGAGTTGTGGGAGAACGACACACTGGCTCATACTGCTGCTGAGGAGTTTTGGCAGTATGGTGACAAAATACGTTTCTTCGATACGACCGCCGCCATATAGCTGGGAATATTGCTGAGTGCGGCGTAAAACTAAACTCACTCACTCACTCTTTGATACGATACGGGCTGTTGCGATTAGTTAATATCCGAAAATAAAAGCGGCAAACTCTTTCCACGTCCATAAAGATACGATACACGTAGTTGCGATACGATAATGTTTGAAAATGTAAATAAAAGTGATGAAACCTATTCCGCATCCATAAAGATACAATGCGTATAGTGTCAATTAGATAGTATCCGAAAGTAAATAAAAGCAACAAACTCTTTTCTACATCCTTAAAGATACCATACGCATTGTTGCGATACGATACTGTCGCAAAATGTAAATAAAAGCGTAAAAAACCGTTTCCACATCCATAAAGATACGATACACATTGTTGCGATAAGATAATGTTTGAAAATGTAAATAAATGTGACAAACACTTTTTCACATCCATAAACATACGATACGCATTGTTGCAATACGATAATGCTTGAATGTGTAAATAAAAGTGACAAACCCTTTTCCACATCCACAAAGATAAAATACGCGTTGTTTCGATAAAATAGTGTCCAAAAAAGGTAAATAAAAGCGACGAAACCTTTTCCACATCCATAAAGAAATTTATGCAAAAAGAAGAGTCGAGAAACATGTGCAATTTTTCACAAAATCAAGTCAAAATTGGGGAATTCCACCCGCCATAATTTTTGTCAATGATGCGTCAATTTTATATGTTTACTACACGGCTACTCTAAGATTATAGCCTTGATCGAACAACTCCTTAGCAAGAGGTGTATGATGCTCTATTGGGCTCCAGATAGTGTGAAATGTAAACACCAAAGGATGGAGCTGTTGGAATAAAGCTTGACTGTTGGAAGTTTAAGTCATCCCTTTGGACATACAGAGGATTTTTATTATGTTTTGTCACAGTGAACCTATATGCTCAGTTTGAAAAATGAAACACATGAGGTTGTCTCATAATACTGTGACATGCACCAAGACCACAATGCACAAGACGAAGTCTGGTTAAATACACTCAAAGCTGACATTAACCTTCTTGGTCAGATGACCTAGTTTTTATTTTGACAACCTGCTCACAAATTCTGATTCATATGCATAAAGAAAAAGACCCACAAGGAGGGGAGCTCAATTGGTGCCCTTGGGGATGCCCACTTCTTGTTTAAATGTGTTACTTAGATTTTGAACGGTGTAATATCATTAGCGATATGATATACATTATGCGTTTTGGACAGTATGAGTACAGACGTTTTTTCGATATCATATGCGCTGAGGCAATTAGATGACATTTGTAAATAATCGAGTTTGGACCAGGCAATGCCGTGAACAACAGCGTGGACATGGATCTGTGCAATTGTTATACAATGGCATGTGTCAAGCAGGTCAGCGAACCTGATCACCCGATCCCGTTAGTCGCCTCTTACGAGAAGCATGGGTCACTGAAGATCAATTCTAAATTGGATCTTTTCAAGTCTCTCCAGGTCGTCGGTGATGTGTTGCCTTGGCTCTGTCTTTGGCTATTGGTTTCACTGAGTCGTATGGTCTTCACAGGTCCCTGCAACACTAACATGTATGCATAACACTGAAGATAATGTAGCAGCTGACACTTGTGTTGTAGGTACAACGCACTAGGTATTTCCAGTGGTTTGGAGGAGGTTGGGTCGGTGCAGTGGCACATGGTCGGCTGTCTCTTTGCTTCCTACATCATTGTATGTCTCTGCATGGTTTCTGGAATAAAGTCTATAGAGAAAGTAGGTATAATCTGGAACTATTTGCCTAGAAGGATACTTTTTTGCAGATGTATGAACGCTCTTGATTTCTTGCGTGTGTGAGTGTGTGTAATGGTTGAGAATTATTATGACAGTATATGGGGCTGCTTGTGACAGCATACATACCTGCTTTGGTATCAAAAGTGCTCTAAGTCCCCATGGTTCCTAGCATAGTGATCTACCTTCAGTTGTTGGCGATCTATAGCCTGTATTTTATACTATATTGTCTTCCCTAATTGGAATGTTTTACCTTTGCTCGCTAGTTTATATTTATATCTGTGATTCTATAGTATTTTTACTGTCCATCGTCGACAGGATTTAATCATCCAAATGTTTTCACTTTTTATTGTATAAATTGTTTACGTCACGATATGGCTGAGATATTCCCGATGTGACTCACCGATGTGACTCACTCATATACCTGCTTTTTCAGTTTCTAGGCCTGATTGTAAAACATAACGCTTGTAAAACTTCATAACGAACGACTTATAACGCTGCTAAAGATGGTGTTGGGCTTGCAATGTGGATGCTGAAGGTATTTCATCCTGTTCAAAGGTTGTGTATGTGACGGCAATAGTTCCATACATTCTTCTGGTGACCATCTTCATAAGGATGCTGATGCTGCCGGGAGCTGGAGCTGGTCTGCTGTACTACCTCACACCAGACTTCAGTAGACTCCTCCACGCACAGGTGTGTTAAAGTCATTAGCGTAATGATGACGAATGAGTTACAACAAAGGCAGTTTTAATGTTGGTGGCTATATATAAGCTCAATGTTTGAGGTGTTGTTTTCTGTATATATGCTTAATGAGTGAGTTGTTGTTTGTTAGGTATGTTTAGTGAGTGAATGAGGTACTATTTATATATATAGGTTTAATGTGTGAGTGAGGTACTGTTATATATAAGTTGAATGAGTGAGTGAGGTACTGTTTTTTATAGATAAGTTTAATGTGTGAGTGAGGTACTGTTTGTTATAGATAAGTTTAATGTGTGAGTGAGGTACTGTTATATATAAGTTGAATGAGTGAGTGAGGTACTGTTTGTTATAGATAAGTTTAATGTGTGAGTGAGGTACTGTTTGTTATAGATAAGTTTAATGTGTGAGTGAGGTACTCTTCGTTATATACAAGTTGAATGTGTGAGTGAGGTACTGGTTGTTATTTAAGTGAGTAAAACTACACTCACTCACTTGAGTACTGGAATATTTCTAAAGGCAGCCTAAACCTAACTCACTCACTTTACTCTACTGAATCTTAACAGAAACAATGTCTTAAAATTACAACTGCTTTACGGTGAATAATATTGGGCATGTTCAACAGGTATGGCTTGAAGCGTGTATCCAGGTGATGTTCTCCCTGGCTGTGGGCTGGGGAATGATTGGAACTGCTTCCAGCTACAGTCAGTTCCACGAACCCTGTCTAAGGTAAATCCTGATAGTATTGTGAACGGATCTCGATTCCGACTTGTTCATGGGCATGTGCATCACCATCAAATAGTGTAAATGAAAAAGTTCCTGGTACCACATCCATGGCAAAACGAAAAAGTTTTAAAATGAAATCAAATGAAAACCAGAAAAAAAGATTCGGACAGCAGACAAAGATTCGGTCAGCCTACCAAGGAATCCACAGCAAAAATAACTCGGTTTCCGCAATGCGGAAACCTGGTAGAAAGTGGACTGAAACTTAAGTTTCCACCTAGAATCCAGTGAGTTTCCGTTCTTTTACATTGAGTTTCCGCAATAACGGAAACTTACAATTACCCACTTTCCAAGGGTTTCCGCAAGGTATCCGTTACCCACACTCCAAGAAGTTTCCGTTGAGTTTCAGTTAACTTTGAATCCATCAGGTTTCCGCAAGGTTTCAGTTATTAAGACTCCAACAGGTTTCCGCATAGTTTCAGTTACCAACAATCCGACATAGTTTCCGCATAGTTTCAGTTCCCAGCAATCCGACATAGTTTCCGCATAGTTTCAGTTACCAACAATCCGACAAGGTTTCCGCATAGTTTCAGTTACCGGTTTCAATTTCAGGTTCACGGGTTTTCATATGCGTTTCAAAGAGCTAAATGTAAACATTCTTCTTTATTTATATCATAAACTCTTGTTCAAAACAATATAAGCAATTTGTTATTATCATGACATTTACTAAAAAGAAAAACTGAATATATAATAAGATTCATTGTTTTATTTTCTCAACATGGTATGGATTAGCATTTAAGGCAAATAAAGATCATACATATAACTAGTAATATAGCACTAAAGAACAGGGCAAAACATGTTGGCATAACTCAATCCAGTTTTAGAAATCATATATCATTTATAACAAAGTTGTAATTTTCATCAGTTAAACTTTCATTCACTTATTATCTTGAAATAGCATGTTAGATACGAAATTTATTTCTAAAATCAGGCTAATGATGAAAAATAACAATAACATACAACTTAACACAGTGATAAAACATAGTTGCATCGGACATTTATTTGCACGCCTTGGCATTCAGCCACACACTCTATGTCACAACTATCGCCAAACATCCACTATGATATACAATAACAACATACAGCTTACAATACAAAAATAAAATAAAAATTACATTATGAAATTGAAAATAAATTCAATTAAATTGCAAGAGCTGGTCAGTGGGCCCTGTAAGGGGCATCCCTGTGCGGAGATCCCTCTGTTACTTTGGTTGGATGCCCCATCCTCGTCCTCCTGTTGGCCTTGACGAGAGCAGTGGAGTTGTAGATTCTTTCCAAGTCCAGTGTCGTCGTGTATGCCATAAGCTTGCTGGACTCACAGACAAAGGGGACGGAATGCAACTAATTGACGTCATCTTCGTCACTCACGACTGGTGATGTCATGTCTATGGTGAGTGTTGTCGCTACCTTTTTCTATCGTCTATCTGGCCAATCAATAGATGCAAGTCTGTTTGGGCGTTGTGCAAGTTTCTGAAAATGGCAGGTTATAACGAATTACTAGGTTATTTTGATGAATTACACAAACATCAATCAACAAGAAACTGACAATGCCAAGGATGATTTAAAATGAGTAATCCACAAGTAAGTTTGAATAAAAGAGAACTAAATTGAACAATTACACTTTGCACTAGTTTTCTCAAAACTCAAATTATGCAATTCATCACACTTCATTGACCGAATGTAATATCTTATTTTCTAAAGAGGACACAGAATCTATACAAACTTTGCTCTGGAGTTACATGCTTCCCAGACCAGAGGTAGTAATATGTTATATATAATATCTGAACATTTATTGCATTTTCTATGTAGTAATAATGGTACTAGTAATAGATTTTCATCAACGTTGTGGTGTCCACCTCCGTGATGTTGCTGGAATATTGCTAAAAGCGGCGTAAAACCAAACTCAGTCAGGCAGTTGTATTGTTGAAGGCACAAGTATATTCACCCAGTAGTGACTGTATGTTTACACCATTACGTCTTTGAGGTGTATTTAGAAGTGAATAATACAAGACGCGAATGTTTCGGATGTCAAGGTCTTTATTATGTGAAAACACAATGTTTCGGGTGAATGCTTACACCTGACGAAGGGGTAAGCATTCACTCTGGCTATGTTTCACTATAATAAAGGAGCTGACATCCATAAACCTTGTCTCTACTCTATGAATTGGAAATAATTTACTACTTATAATGAAAGTCACTACAGATAGGTCAAAATTACCTTCACACATGTTTCAGCTGACCATCCTTGGTCATTCGTTATACAGTCTGCAGACTCATCATCAGCTGAAAAATAAAGCAATAACACGTTACTTTTCTTTGCATTTCTCCATTCATTCATTTGAGGTTTAACAAACCCCCAAACAATTGCAGCGACATTTATACCAACAAACAAACTACAGATTTATCACTTTAAGGTTATGCAATGAGTAAGTGAACGGCCTGACATAAACATCCTGATGAATGAAGTTCAGTTATCTCATGTGACATAACCTTGGAGATAATTACAGTATTGTAAAATCAAGGGGTCAGTTTACTGCCATTTCACACAGGTGTGAAGTTTATTTGGTCCAATTTGAAATCATGATTAAGTTACCGGTTATTCAAATCCATTTGCAAATGTAACTTGAGTATGGTTCATTTTGTGAAAATGTATCTAGGGAAGCATAATAATAAAATATTCAAAGTGAAATTACGTCTATGTTTCATAGTACCATAAACACATACCTTCAGTTAGAGAGGGTGATCTTTTCTTCCAGGAGTGGTCGTGACACGTTTCCTCTCAACAGCCTAAATGGATAAAACAAATCAATTAATATACAATCTATTTGCTATATTTTTCAAAATTGTAGTATATTTTCGATAGACACTTATTTTACTTCACCAACCTTTGAAAATAGTTCGTGCAAAACTGTTTATACAGTCAGGGACTTAAATATACGTCAGTCGGCAAAATTCTCATAGACTTGCATGCTATTTTTAGTGTAGCTATGTAATTTTCATTAATTCAGTTTTCCATATTTGGTTGTCAAATTATGCAGGCTGTTAGGAAATAATCTTGGTCACAGATACATAATTTTCCGCATTGTAGTTACATGAGCAACATATATACAACATTGCGTATTCTTTCCCCATAGACCGCCATGTTAAAAATTGCCATAACCATGACACGCATTGAATTGAAAATAAAACGGAAATTATGTCTTTGAAGCTGAGATGATTCAGAACCCATGTGCAAAATATGAACAATATCAAACGGATATCAAATAAATTCAAGACATATTTCTAGCTGCACCAAATTAACATGTAAGTCGAATAATGCATAGTGGCGAATACCTATGGCCACTGGCTGTAATTCGATCGATTAGCTTGATTACCAATCCGGATTATCTGTACGTAAAGTAAATAATTCATAAAACGTTATTTGACAACAAAACAAATTGGTCTTACCTGACAGGGTCGTGGTAATGCGAGTTTTTCGCAGCCATTTCCATCTTTCTTTTCCAGGTAGCGAATTCTCTCTTTCAGTGCTTTGAGGAAAACTGAGGCGGCTTTGAAAATCGCGACTCGCAAAGGCTCACGGGAAAAACACTTTGTTGTTGTTTTCAATCTAAATCTAACATTACAGTTTGACAATATCTTTCCGCGTTATACAACAAAATAAACATACACTATACACATAAAATGTCAGCTGTGTGTTTTTATAATGATTTAGGTAGTCTCGCGTGGACGTGATCCGGTCGCCATTGTTTTATTTGTTTACATTGCCGACATCAAAGGGGACCGTGAAAGGTGGAAATGAGCAGATTGAATGTGAGTACCCAACAGTGGGCTTGTATGGGCTTAAGGGTCTTCTCATCGCATTATGGGCACTAATTGCTCCTCCTCAGTGTCAAGCATCAACATGTAGGCCTAGAGAAGTGAATAAATCTGAAAACATATTCACGTTACTTTAAAAGTCTTCATCGAGCTCCATGAGTCCTACTCATGAGAGATTGTGTTAATTAGCAAAAATAGGTGATTTTCAAAACCCTGTCAGGAGTAGGCAATATACGTTCTGCTGGACGTAAAAAACTTCACCAGGTAAGTAATTTACCTATTGAGCTCAAAACATGCACATGTATTAGACATGCTTATATCATGTTCATTCTTTTCAGTTCTACACGTAGATCTACGTTACATTCCTGTATTATAACTTTACTTATCTAATTATATGTGATGTCAGCTCAATATATCTACGTGAGCGAGTTTAGTATTACGCCGCACTCGGCAATATTCCAACTATATGGCGGTATTTATCCAATTATACCAGTACATCTTTTTATCATTTTATTACCATTAAAACAATTATAACATATACTTTACACTCATAGCTTTGTGTAATAATTTAGGTAATCAATTATTGAACCTCTTAGCCTTACAATGCATTGACACAAGTCACGTATAACATTTCTAAAAGAATCATTGTTTCAATTATTTGATTTACAGATACGTATTGTGGATCCACTGACTTGTTGGAGATTGACAAGAAGCTTGGCTTGGTAATCATTTATAGTTACACCATACCATGCTCCTAATTTCATTAAAGGAAATCTTAAAACAATATTTTTATTCATCAGCATTTAGTCAAAACAAGTAAACACTAAATAGATACATAGAATAAATTTCTTTATCTTTGTGAAAAATATAATCACTCAAAATGTAACAGTGCGTGGATTCCAGTGTAACCATAAGTTGAACATATGTTATATATGGGATTACACTTTCATAAGTTAAGATATGTTGATAAGGTTTTCAGTTCAAGAAAAGACCCAGTTTTCTGTCCGCACTGCCAGTCGTTTGTTTCAAGGAAACAAGGAATCGTCTGGAATGGACGGCAGTTTCTCATCAGGTTAGTCAAAATACTTCACTTCATAGGTTTCATTTAACGACTTCAGTTTGATCTATCCCATTGCTATCCATCATATATCAATAATGAATATATTTCATTATTGTAATTTGTTTGATTGGCATTTAGAAGTTGGTGACAAATAAGAAAGTAAGAGAGTTTATGGATAACAACTTCTTTATTATATATGATGCGACGTTTCGGTATGGATTCTTATACCGTTGTCGAGCAAGAGTGTAATTATTGTATACCAGATATGTAACTGTAACTGAAAGTGAATAAGTTGTGTTACACATTTTACAGTTTTAAATTAAATTAAAGGTCACATAAAAAATAATATTTTATGTTACTATATTGCTGGGAATGTTTCCTTAGAGAGTTGATAAAACTACGAAATACCCACGATTTTTCATTCATGGGAAATGTTAGGTTTTGTATGCTTTTCTCTCAGTTGAGTTGGTCATTTCAATTTGAATAAGATCACATATATAATTATGTGTTACATTCAGTGTTTAAACATAATTCGTATCTATTTAAAATATGTATGTACCGTTTTACATATGCTTCGATTTCAATTGGCGATTTGGTAGTAGATGTTACCTTGAATATGAGTACAGTAACAGTAATAAATATTACAACAATTTGCTTCAGAATACTGGGTTGGCTGCTATTTTCTGGTACCAATCAATAAAATAAGTGACATGTCAAATGGAAGATACAATATACATGTATACTACATATCTTTCCTTTGTGATTGTGAAAAAATATTTTGGTTACATATACAAATTAGTCGTTCTAATTATATAATTTCATTGTGATCAGATGTACCACTGTGCATGTTTATGAATATGTATAAATGTGTTACTTTGGCTGTTTTTGCAGTTTTACTAAGCATTGTATGTATTGTATTTGCAGGATGATGAAGAGTCTATGTGGGATGATAAGGATGGCAACGATGTTGTGCCAGACATCAACCAGGACTCTTCATATTCACCCACAAATCTTAAGTAGAGCATACACCATCTGTTTGCGGTTGTGGACTGGTTCAAGCCTTGTTGTAATCAACTTAGTTATATTTCCCCTTTCTGTGTGGCAAAACTCAGGCTCAACTCAAGGCTCTGCGTCATATGTACCACATCAGAGGATTGTTGGCTGCTCAGTGTGAGTGCAACAGAAGCTTCATGGTTGTAAGCAAGTTGCCAAGTCTTTACTATGTGAGATTGTTAGTGTGTATATGTTAAGATACATTGAGACAGCTTCAAATGTACACTTCATGTATATGTATATGGGCCCATGACCTTTCATACAATAAACATTTGAATTTGAATTTGAAATCTGTTTTATAAATACCACAGCAAATATGTTATGCCTGCACTAGTAGACCTCATTTCATCATATGCATAAAATGTTGTAGGGTTTTGACATATTTGTATTTGCATATTCATACAGAATTTGTTTTCTCCAATGCTGAAAATTCCCTTTTGATATGGGCATGCATGCATGCATACATACATACATACATACATACATACATACATACATACATACATACAGACATACAGACAGACAGACAGACAGACAGACAGACAGACAGACAGACAGACAGACACACAGACACACATTGTTGAGTACTGTTGAAATGTGAGCTATTCACAATAATGAAACAGATGAATCAGAACAGTGCATGTGTCACTGTGTTTGTTGTTTTTCGGGTACAATGTAATAAATTGTACATTCACAAGTTATGCAGAATAGTAGTGAGTGAGTTGCATAGTCACATCGGTAGCCATATCGTGACTATGAAAGTCGCAACTCTAAATTTGTAAATGTGTACATGAAATAAAAACAAACTTATATACTTACCTGTCTTCGAAGGACAGTAAAATAACTAATCTATCACAAATGTACACTAAAACCTGGCATGTAACCATAAACACTTTACCGGTACAGTATAAAAATGAGCTATAGATTGCCAACACCTGAAGGTTGATCAACATACTAGGGACTACGGCACGAACAGTACTTCTGCTTCCTGCATTGACCCTAACTGGATTCTGTAAACAGAAATTATCTTGCAAATGTAACAATAAGTAAATATAGTCCCCCAATGGAACAGCACAAAGCTAATTATAAGTTTGCCATTTCATCTAAGCTGAAACCAACAGAAACCTAGCGGAAACCTACATTACCCAGTATCCAATAGGTTTCCGCAATAGCGGAAACAAAGTCATTTCTCTTTGAATGTTTCAGCGAACTGAAACTAAATGGAAACGCATAATGATAGTTTCAGTTGTAGAAACTTGACGGAAACCTAGATTTGTTAGTTTCAGTTTTGTAAACTATGCGGAAACTCGCATTGTCTGTTTCCGGATACTGAAACCTAGCGGAAACCTACATTACCCAGTATCCGTTAGGTTTCCGCAAAAACGGAAACTAAGTTATTTTTGCTGTGATCTTCATGTACATGATGCATCCAGGAACCGTGTCTTAGGTAAATCCTAATATTATTGTAGGGAAATCTCAATTTGTAAGCGCATTCTCACTTATCGATGGCACCAATCACAGACACATGCATAGACAAGGCAATTACTGTGAAAACACAAGAACATACGGTACAAGTCACAATAGGGAATTGCACCAAACATAATGTTTTCACCGATGCGTCAAATTGACGAAATTTTGGCAATAAACATATTGAAAGAGGGGTATTATGTTGTGTTTTGCCAAGGACGTGGTACTAGGAATGTAACAGGCATTGTCGTTCGTATGTAGATATGCAAATTATATCGCAAGTGTGTTTAAGGGACAAAACACTGCAAGCGTGATAACCTCTTTATCATGTCATGTCATCTTGTAAATTCTGTGGTCGACAAACCCCTTCTCTTCTCTTCTCCCACGATATATCAGAGACGCCATCATCGTGACTGCTGTATCAGAAGGAACAAGCATCTTCGCTGGATTTGTCATATTCGCTACCCTTGGCGTCATGTCGGAGAAGACTGGTGTTTCTATTTCAAAAGTGGTTTCCAGTGGTGAGTATTGTAAAGTGTCGTTGGTGATTTCTTACGTCAAGAGGCAGAAACCCCCCTCCTATTTAATTATTCCTTGGAGGTGAACGTATTGGACTGATGAAATGGTGTCTACGCCAGATCCGGAGAAAACACATGCTGCTCTGTTGTTCATACACGTAACTGAGATTGTGACATTAGTGCTTGACACCTACTCGCATTTGACTCGTAACGGCAATGTCATAGACATGCGGTTCTGCTCTCTTCATATGATCGCAATGTCCTATAAAAGTTTACAAGGTAAGTTTTCATTGTTATGTTTTCAAATTTAGAGAGAAAATTAACAAAGCACATTTTCTCTTCGAGGATATGATTTTTGTACTATTTTCAAGAACGCTTGTGACATATCTCAGCTGCCAAAGTTTAGAACTATGATGGATTGTCAATACTTGGCAGGTCCAGGATTGGCCTTTGTTGTGTATCCAGAAGCTTTATTCCAACTTCCAATGCCACAAGTCTGGTCATTTCTATTCTTCCTGGTGTTGCTTACAGCCGGACTTGATTCACAGGTAAGATCGCCCACACTGAACGAGTGAAAATATCATCGTATCATTTCTGACTGGTCGACGCTTGTAAATCTGCACATTCTGTATGAATTCGAAGGAATTTTAATTTCGTCACCTGCTTGACTTGGAAATGTAAGAATTTCTTTCCAGCAATGGCTTCACAAATCAAAAGCATAAACTGTAAATTTTGACCAATCAGAGTACTTGCTTCGATCACACACCCGTTTTGTGCGGACCTATCGTCATCCATTTGTGACTAGATCGTTTAGTTGAGGGTCAAAATCGGCTTTCAGTCTACTTGCAAAAATAACAATAAAGAATTGGTAGGTGTCACGAGTGTTGATGTATTGTACTGTGAAGCATTTCGAGTCGGGAGTCATCTGGAAAGAGTTAATACTAATTATCTTTAATCCTCGCAAACACACGGGGGCCTGTGGATACCCTGACTGATCCAAATTCGACACTTCTTGTAGTATCAATATATTCAATAGCGTTATGGATTTGAGATGAAAATTGTTTCATTCCGCTTCTGGTATATAAATAATTGGCAAACATCACTAATCTTCAATAAAGTCCATATTTCCTTCATACCATCAATTTGGAAAATCTCATACCTCATTAAATGAACGAATGGAAAGAAATATATGTCTATGTGTTTTGGACACTGAAAATGATCCATTCTTAATTCTGTGTATCAATAATTTCGAAACAAGTGCACATGCTCATTAAATGAATATTGTTTTCAGTTTATGAATATTGAGGTCCTTACAACAGCCATGGTAGACAAATATCCGGCCGCTTTAACCAAAAGACGCCATCTTGTGACAGCCGGTGTGTGCGGGATAAGCTTCTTGCTTGGGATTGTATTATGCACAGAGGTAGGGACACGAGGATAACAACTGACAATATTGGAGCTTGCTCAGAATGCAGACGAAAAATGCTGGCAAAACATCTTAATCGATTATACACAAACGAATGCAATAACTAACAAACATATGTCGAGTGATGATTGATACTCTACAACGATGAATCAAGCATAGAAAGCATGTGTTTCTTCCTTGGGGCACTAACTACAGGTGCAGTAAGAATATCAGACTGACATACAGTAAAGATGTAAACGAACATACATAATAAACCACAGTAATACAAAATGGCGGTGTCCTGGACATGCGACTTCTTGATGATGACAGACATCATTCAGGGGATGGTCAGCTAAAACGATGACTCGTTTACCACAATGCAGTAACATTATTTAGTATAAAAATAAATAGTCTTTCAATGGTTGTAACTGATTCAGTTCATGGATCACTTCGTGGATGATTTTGATCGTTCCTGAGGTGGTAAAATATGCATACAACAGAGAGGCAGTTACAACTGTCTCAGTAAAATCCATAAAAGGTCAGTTCGAATTTATCAGATAACTAATTGCTTACATTTCTGCAGAAAATATAGACCGCTTAAAGATCCAGAATTATTTTTAAATGGCAGCCCCATCAAGGTTGTGAAGGGTTGTTCTTGGGTTTTATCTATGATTCTCATTTGACTTTCTTACCCAATATTAAATACCTAAAAACTACATGCTTGAAGGCACTTGGATTGTTGAAAGTCGTGAGGTGAGATCCCATCTGCTCGAAACTTGATTACGGCGCAATCGTATATGGTGGAGCCTTTAAAGGCAACCCAAAATACTTGATTCTATCCACCACCATGGTATAAGACTGTGTTTAAGCCTGATCAAACTATCTTTGCAGTATATCATTACACAATATTCTAATCAGGTCAACCAGGTATATAACTGTCTTTAATACACACTATGGGGATCTTTACAACGAGACGTGTCCTCTTGTTCCGCCTCCAGGAATAAGAGTAAAACCTTTCCTTTCAGTTGCTAGCATTGAGCTGGATAATATATCTCCATACCGCCTTCTTTCTTCTCCTTGGCACTTAGTGAGGCCACAAGTTGACCTAATACTGACAAAATAAAAAACCTAAGAAAGTAATGAATTACAATATCAACAAGAATTCAATCAATTAAAACGTAAATATAATGCATACAAATCGATGTTTGCAGATTGATCCAAGGACGGTGGCGCAATTGCTGTGCCACTGTCATTGGATCCAGAACGCTATCTTCTAGAATACCAGATAACCGCTCTATTTTTACAGCAGAAGCAAAAGCTGTATTAATGGCTCTTAAATCTATAAAAAAAACACTCTAAATATAAGCAATATATCATATATTCAGACTCTCGTTCCTTCAGAGAATCTTAAATCTATCTTGTAAACATCCACTTTTAGTTGAAGTTAATAATTTATTGTCCAATACGATATCTTCTTTTGTTTGTTACCCAGTCATGTTGGAATCAGTGGTAACACAATGGCTGATGCTGCAGCTACGGCAGAACCTAACAAATGTTATGTGACACCACTTATTATACCATACTCAGATTAGAAAGCTGTGAATAGATCTGTCATTATCTAATGCAGAATAAGTTGGACACACAAGTAGGTATCAATAAAGTACATGCAATTAAACCAACCATCGGTTACACCCACGTGGGTTATCACTCCAGATTTGAAGAGGTCATTTTAAGACGATGTCGCATTGGCCATACAAGGTATACTCACTAGCATCTATTGAAAGGTGAGGATCCACCATTTTGCATCCATTGTGATGAAAAAATCACGGTCAAGCATGTACCTGCCTGCCTGATTTTTTCCATCACAAGGGATAACTATTTCAGAGCAAAAACAGTTAAGGATCTTTATAGTAATGTAAATTATCATTTAAGTGTTGAAGTTTTAAATGAAATAGAACTGATTTTTTAAAAATAATTTGTATTGCAGATAGATGTAAACTTTTTTAATATTGGAAGTTTAAACTAGTAACTGAGATTGTTGTATCCTCAAAGGGGGTTAAAGTATTGTAAAATTATTGTCCTCTTGAGAGGGCACGTAGGTGACGATACATTAAGCTTACTAGATTTTTAAGCGTAGCATTTTGTGTCATTTTAAATCATGGCTAAATTTGAGTGCAATCGCCAGCGGCTGAAGACGTGATAATACCCAACCTGAGTGAGTGCAGTCTCCATGGTCTCTAGTCTGGTGATCACCCTTCAGTTCCTGGCGATACGCGAAAGCCCATTTTGTTTATATTGTTTTGTCCTGATTAACATCAAATTGTAGAGATAGAGGCTAGTTTTAATTCTTGCTTCTGTGTTATTCTAGTTGGTTTTACTGTCCTTAGTCGACAACATTAAAAAATGTAATTGTATTTATCAGGAATTTAATATCTAGTTTTAGTCACGATATGGCTGCAATACTGCCGATGTTACTATAAGCTTTAACTCACTCACTTAAACAAAACCATAATAAAATTGGAGGTTTCCATTTATGGCAGGCAAAATGATCGATAATCGGATATATCGTCAACAGAAAAAAATACTAATGATTATAGATATGAAAAGTGTGCAATCGATACTATTGTACACTACCTTTTGTGACAGAAACAAGTTTTAATTATCTCACACAACATATAAAGCTTTATTCAAGCTCCCAAATTGCTCAGAGTTCAGTTATGTTAGTACTCCATGCAAAACATGGAGTCATATTGGTTTCTTTCAGACGCTGGGGGCAATTTTGCACGTCTCAGATATTTCTCGATATTTAGTTAACGAGTATCGATCTCTTTTATGCTATATCGACAGCCAGCCCTAGTTCCATTGTGGTGACTTTTCAGTTCGATAAAAGGAACCTTAATTCATTCATTCCAGGGAGGACCCTACATATACCAACTGCTGGACTGGTATTTGGGCGCCTTATCCATACTGCTATTTTGTACAATGGAATGTCTGGCTGTTGTCTGGATTTATGGTAAGGCTGGATGAAACGTCACTGTGCTATACTATGAACTAGACCCGTGAAGATCCGGGTTAGCATTTGTCTTCAGCAAACTATGCTTGTCGAACGGGATCGGGTTTTCAGGCTCATTCTGACTTGTTTGACACATGTCATTTGAGATCGATGCCCATGCTGTTGATCAGAGGAAATCCTGGACCAGACTCGATTATTTACAGACCGCCGCCATATAGCTGAAATGCTGAATGCGGCGTTAAACAACAAATAAAGCAAAGCAAATGTTATACTTGGGATTGTACGCTCTTGTTCCAAATTCATATCGGGCTCAGTGTTTGGACCACCATTATATTTGTGGAAACTCTGAGTGACAAATGGGTTCCTCACTCTGATAGCAAGCGTTCGAATCCCAGATTGGACTCCACCCACGAGTACTAGAATATGTCGTTTACTAAGTAAGTGTAATCCCAAATATAACATTTGTTATGTTGACCACTCTCCAAAAGGCATTTTGTATTATTCATTGTCATGTCTTACATTGAGATCAATAGTTTTCAAAATCATGTCAATGTCATTATAATTATTTAATACTAATAGCATATAAGCTTCCTCACGCTGACTCTAGACGTTCAAAGAAGTGTTTGTTGTTGCTTTCAAAATCTTGATTTAGGAGATAAACATCATGTGTTGGCCAATTTCCGGGTGTTATTGAGTATTTGAAGCACGGGAATTCATTTGGAACCGACACAGCAAAAATAACTCGGTTTCCGGAATGCGGAAACCTGGTAGAAAGTGGACTGAAACTTAAGTTTCCACCTAGAATCCAGTGAGTTTCCGTTCTTTTACATTGAGTTTCCGCAATAACGGAAACTTACAATTACCCACTTTCCAAGGGTTTCCGCAAGGTTTCCGTTACCCACACTCCAACAGGTTTCCGCAAGGTATCCGTTACCCACACTCCAAGAAGTTTCCGTTGAGTTTCAGTTAACTTTGAATCCATCAGGTTTCCGCAAGGTTTCAGTTATTAAGACTCCAACAGGTTTCCGCATAGTTTCAGTTACCAACAATCCGACATAGTTTCCGCATAGTTTCAGTTCCCAGCAATCCGACATAGTTTCCGCATAGTTTCCGTTACCAACAATCCGACATAGTTTCCGCATAGTTTCAGTTCCCAGCAATCCGACATAGTTTCCGCATAGTTTCAGCTACCGGTTTCAATTTCAGGTTCACGGGTTTTCATATGCGTTTCAAAGAGCTAAATGTAAACATTCTTCTTTATTTATATCATAAACTCTTGTTCAAAACAATATAAGTAATTTGTTATTATCATGACATTTACTAAAAGAAAAACAGAATATATAATAAGATTCATTGTTTTATTTTCTCAACATGGTATGGATTAGCATTTAAGGCAAATAAAGATCATACATATAACTAGTAATATAGCACTAAAGAACAGGGCAAAACATGTTGGCATAACTCAATCCAGTTTTAGAAATCATATATCATTTATAACAAAGTTGTAATTTTCATCAGTTAAACTTTCATTCACTTATTATCTTGAAATAGCATGTTAGATACGAAATTTATTTCTAAAATCAGGCTAATGATGAAAAATAACAATAACATACAACAACACAGTGATAAAACATAGTTGCATCGGACATTTATTTGCACGCCTTGGCATTCAGCCACACACACTCTATGTCACAACTATCGCCAAACATCCACTATGATATACAATAACAACATACAGCTTACAATACAAAAATAAAATAAAAATTACATTATGAAATTGAAAATAAATTCAATTAAATTGCAAGAGCTGGTCAGTGGGCCCTGTAAAAGGCATCCCTGAGCGGAGATCCCTCTGTTACTTTGGTTGGATGCCTCATCCTCGTCCTCCTGTTGGCCTTGACGAGAGCAGTGGAGGTGTAGATTCTTTCCAAGTCCAGTGTCGTCGTGTATGCCATAAGCTTGCTGGACTCACAGACAAAGGGACGGAATGCAACTAATTGACGTCATCTTCGTCACTCACGACTGGTGATGTCATGTCTATGGTGAGTGTTGTCGCTACCTTTTTCTATCGTCTATCTGGCCAATCAATAGATGCAAGTCTGTTTGGGCGTTGTGCAAGTTTCTGAAAATGGCAGGTTATAACGAATTACTAGGTTATTTTGATGAATTACACAAACATCAATCAACAAGAAACTGACAATGCCAAGGATGATTTAAAATGAGTAATCCACAAGTAAGTTTGAATAAAAGAGAACTAAATTGAACAATCACACTTTGCACTTGTTTTCTCAAAACTCAAATTATGCAATTCATCACACTTCATTGACCGAATGTAATATCTTATTTTCTAAAGAGGACACAGAATCTATACAAACTTTGCTCTGGAGTTACATGCTTCCCAGACCAGAGGTAGTAATATGTTATATATAATATCTGAACATTTATTGCATTTTCTATGTAGTAATAATGGTACTAGTAATAGATTTTCATCAACGTGGTGGTGTCCACCTCCGTAATGTTGCTGGAATATTGCTAAAAGCGGCGTAAAACCAAACTCAGTCAGGCAGTTGTATTGTTGAAGGCACAAGTATATTCACCCAGTAGTGACTGTATGTTTACACCATTACGTCTTTGAGGTGTATTTAGAAGTGAATAATACAAGACGCGAATGTTTCGGATGTCAAGGTCTTTATTATGTGAAAACACAATGTTTCGGAGTGAATGCTTACACCTGACGAAGGGGTAAGCATTCACTCTGGCTATGTTTTCACATAATAAAGGGATTGACATCCATAAACCTTGTCTCTACTCTATGAATTGGAAATAATTTACTACTTATAATGAAAGTCACTACAGATAGGTCAAAATTACCTTCACACATGTTTCAGCTGACCATCCTTGGTCATTCGTTATACAGTCTGCAGACTCATCATCAGCTGAAAAAATAAACAATAACACGTTACTTTTCTTTGCATTTCTCCATTCATTCATTTGAGGTTTAACAAACCCCCAAACAATTGCAGCGACATTTATACCAACAAGCAAACTACAGATTTATCACTTTAAGGTTATGCAATGAGTAAGTGAACGGCCTGACATAAACATCCTGATGAATGAAGTTCAGTTATCTCATGTGACATAACCTTGGAGTAATTACGGTATTGTAAAATCAAGGGGTCAGTTTACTGCCATTTCACACAGGTGTGAAGTTTATTTGGTCCAATTTGAAATCATGATTAAGTTACCGGTTATTCAAATCCATTTGCAAATGTAACTTGAGTATGGTTCATTTTGTGAAAATGTATCTAGTGAAGCATAATAATAAAATATTCAAAGTGAAATTACGTCTATGTTTCATAGTACCATAAACACATACCTTCAGTTAGAGAGGGTGATCTTTTCTTCCAGGAGTGGTCGTTTCCTCTCAACAGCCTAAATGGATAAAACAAATCAATTAATATACAATCTATTTGCTATATTTTTCAAAATTGTAGTATATTTTTCGATAGACACTTATTTTACTTCACCAACCTTTGAAAATAGTTCGTGCAAAACTGTTTATACAGTCAGGGGACTTAAATATACGTCAGTCGGCAAAATTCTCATAGACTTGCATGCTATTTTAGTGTAGCTATGTAATTTTCATTAATTCAGTTTTCCATATTTGGTTGTCAAATTATGCAGGCTGTTAGGAAATAATCTTGGTCACAGATACATAATTTTCCGCATTGTAGTTACATGAGCAACATATATACAACATTGCGTATTCTTTCCCCATAGACCGCCATGTTAAAATTGCCATAACCATGACACGCATTGAAATGAAAATAAAACGAAATTATGTCTTTGAAGCTGAGATGATTCAGAACCCATGTGCAAAATATGAACAATATCAAACGGATATCAAATAAATTCAAGACATATTTCTAGCTGCACCAAATTAACATGTAAGTCGAATAATGCATAGTGGCGAATACCTATGGCCACTGGCTGTAATTCGATAGATTAAGCTTGATTACCAATCCGGATTATCTGTACGTAAAGTAAATAATTCATAAAACGTTGTTTGACAACAAAACAAATTGGTCTTACCTGACGGGGTCGTGGTACTGCGAGTTTTCGCAGCCATTTCCATCTTTCTTTCCAGGTAGCGAATTCTCTTTCAGTGCTTTGAGGAAAAACTGAGGCGGCTTTGAAAATCGCGACTCGCAAAGGCTCACGGAAAAACACTTTGTTGTTGTTTTCAATCTAAATCTAACATTACAGTTTGACAATATCTTTCCGCGTTATACAACAAAATAAACATACACTATACACATAAAATGTCAGCTGTGTGTTTTATAATGAGTTAGGTAGTCTCGCGTGGACGTGATCCGGTCGCCATTGTTTTGTTTGTTTACATTGCCGACATCAAAGGGGACCGTGAAAGGTGGAAATGAGCAGATTGAATGTGAGTACCCAACAGTGGGCTTGTATGGGCTTAAGGGTCTTCTCATCGCATTATGGGCACTAATTGCTCCTCCTCAGTGTCAAGCATCAACATGTAGGCCTAGAGAGTGAATAAATCTGAAAACATATTCACGTTACTTTAAAAGTCCTCATCGAGCTCCATGAGTCCTACTCATGAGAGATTGTGTTAGTGGCAAATAGGTGATTTTTCAAAACCCTGTCAGGAGTAGGCAATATACGTTCTGCTGGACGTAAAACTTCACCAGGTAAGTAATTTACCTATTGAGCTCAAAACATGCACATGTATTAGACATGCTTATATCATGTTCATTCTTTTCAGTTCTACACGTAGATCTACGTACATTCCTGTATTATAACTTTACTTATCTAATTATATGTGATGTCAGCTCAATATATCTACGTGAGCGAGTTTAGTATTACGCCGCACTCGGCAATATTCCAGCTATATGGCGGTATTTATCCAATTATACCAGTACATCTTTTTTATCATTTTATTACCATTAAAACAATTATAACATATACTTTACACTCATGGCTTTTGTGTAATAATTTAGGTAATCAATTATTGAACCTCTTAGCCTTACAATGCATTGACACAAGTCACGTATAACATTTCTAAAAGAATCATTGTTTCAATTATTTGATTTACAGATACGTATTGTGGATCCACTGACTTGTTGGAGATTGACAAGAGGCTTGGCTTGGTAATCATTTATAGTTACACCATACCATGCTCCTAATTTCATTAAAGGAAATCTTAAAACAATATTTTTTATTCATCAGCATTTAGTCAAAAACAAGTAAACACTAAATAGATACATAGAATAAATTTCTCATCAGGTTAGTCCAAAATACTTCACTTCATAGGTTTCATTTAACGACTTCAGTTTGATCTATCCCATTGCTATCCATCATATATCAATAATGAATATATTTAATTATTGTAATTTGTTTGATTGGCATTTAGAAGTTGGTGACAAATAAGAAAGTAAGAGAGTTTATGGATAACAACTTCTTTATTATATATGATGCGACGTTTCGGTATGGATTCTTATACCGTTGTCGAGCAAGAGTGTAATTATTGTATACCAGATATGTAACTGTAACTGAAAGTGAATAAGTTGTGTTACACATTTTACAGTTTTTAAATTAAATTAAAGGTCACATAAAAAAATAATATCTTATGTTACTATATTGCTGGGAATGTTTCCTTAGATAAAACTAAGAAATACCCACGATTTTTCATTCATGGGAAATGTTAGGTTTTGTATGCTTTTCTCAGTTGAGTTGGTCATTTCAATTTGAATAAGATCACATATATAATTATGTGTTACATTCAGTGTTTAAACATAATTCGTATCTATTTAAAATATGTATGTACCGTTTTACATATGCTTCGATTTCAATTGGCGATTTGGTAGTAGATGTTACCTTGAATATGAGTACAGTAACAGTAATAAATATTACAACAATTTGCTTCAGAATACTGGGTTGGCTGCTATTTTCTGGTACCAGTCAATAAAATAAGTGACATGTCAAATGGAAGATACAATATACATGTATACTACATATCTTTCCTTTGTGATTGTGAAAAAAATATTTTGGTTACATATACAAATTAGTCGTTCTAATTATATAATTTCATTGTGATCAGATGTACCACTGTGCATGTTTATGAATATGTATAAATGTGTTACTTTGGCTGTTTTGCAGTTTTACTAAGCATTGTATGTATTGTATTTGCAGGATGATGAAGAGTCTGTGTGGGATGATAAGGATGGCAGCGATGTTGTGCCAGACATCAACCAGGACTCTTCATATTCACCCACAAATCTTAAGTAGAGCATACACCATCTGTTTTGCGGTTGTGGACTGGTTCAAAGCCTTGTTGTAATCAACTTGGTTATATTTCCCCTTTCTGTGTGGCAAAACTCAGGCTCAACTCAAGGCTCTGCGTCATATGTACCACATCAGAGGATTGTTGGCTGCTCAGTGTGAGTGCAACAGAAGCTTTATGGTTGTAAGCAAGTTGCCAAGTCTTTACTATGTGAGATTGTTAGTGTGTATATGTTAAGATACATTGAGACAGCTTCAAATGTACACTTCATGTATATGTATATGGGCCCATGACCTTTCATACAATAAACATTTGAATTTGAATTTGAAATCTGTTTTATAAATACCACAGCAAATATGTTATGCCTGCACTAGTAGACCTCATTTCATCATATGCATAAAATGTTGTAGGGTTTTGACATATTTGTATTTGCATATTCATACAGAATTTGTTTTCTCCAATGCTGAAAATTCCCTTTTGATATGGGCATGCATACATGCATGCATGCATGCATGCATACATACAGACAGACAGACAGACAGACAGACAGACAGACAGACAGACACACATTGTTGAGTACTGTTGAAATGTGAGCTATTCACAATAATGAAACAGATGAATCATAACAGTGCATTTGTCACTGTGTTTGTTGTTTTTCGGGTACAATGTAATAAATTGTACATTCTGGTTATGCAGAATGGTAGTGAGTGAGTTGCATAGTCACATCGGTAGCCATATCGTGACTATGAAAGTCGTAACTCTAAATTTGTAAATATTATTGCATGAAATAAAACAAACTTAAACTTATATACCTGTCTTCGAAGGACAGTAAAATAACTAATCTATCACAAATGTACACTAAAACTGGCATGTAACCATAAACACTTTACCGGTACAGTATAAAATGAGCTATAGATTGCCAACACCTGAAGGTTGATCAACATACTAGGGACTACGGCACGAACAGTACTTTTGCTTCCTGCATTGACCCTAACTGGATTCTGTAAACAGAAATTATCTTGCAAATGTAACAATAAGTAAATATAGTCCCCAATGGAACAGCACAAAGCTAATTATAAGTTTGCCATTTCATCTAAGCTGAAACCAACAGAAACCTAGCGAAACCTACATTACCCAGTATCCAATAGGTTTCCGCAATAGCGGAAACAAAGTCATTTCTCTTTGAATGTTTCAGCGAACTGAAACTAAATGGAAACGCATAATGATAGTTTCAGTTGTAGAAACTTGACGGAAACCTAGATTTGTTAGTTTCAGTTTTGTAAACTATGCGGAAACTCGCATTGTCTGTTTCCGGATACTGAAACCTAGCGGAAACCTACATTACCCAGTATCCGTTAGGTTTCCGCAAAAACGGAAACTAAGTTATTTTTGCTGTGCGACGGCGTTAGCCAAAAGGCCCACATGGGTTTTACTGTCTGCACTCATTGACATCGACTACGGGTACAGCAATGAATTGTCATCAGCTGGACGTTTCTGCTGGTCCCCATGGTAGCATCTGGAACTGCTCATTTGTGACGTCATATCGACTTTACGTCACAATATGATTTGAATGACGTCAACACTGCTGACGACACAACAATACAATTACGTGCGATATTTGTACGTGTCAATACGCAGTGAAAAGTCTTGCAATTTCCGGGAATCGAATATCATTCGATCATGTGGTTCAACCAATCAGATTAAAGAATACGGTGACGTTTGGTTTACAACATCTAAATGTTGTTTTCAAAACAATCTTGATTGTTATTTAAATGTCAGGAAAACCAGTATGTCACATGGTTATTTCAGAGAAAAATATATTTTTCGAAAATATGGTATCTCACCATTTGCTGTAGTCGAAGAAACAAGACATGGTTATCAATATCCCCCGCCAGTGTTCTGTTCCTATTTGGTTTCTGGTTTATTTAATTCCACAACGACATTCGCGTCCTTGATTTCACCGCACTTGGTTTCACCTATCTATAACCGTTGCTGAGAAAATCTGGAGATAACGTACTTTAAGTCAAGAAACGCATGGCCAGGGCCATGACACTGTGAAGCATGGTAACACGGTTTCCGTTTTCGATCTCCACCAAGGCATTACATTTTGTGTCCTGACAATACATACCACCTTCGGTTTCCCGCGCTGTTGAGAAGTATTTCCCCATTGGGGTTACCGTGCAGTAAGTCCAGAAATGCTTGACAAGGACCATAACACTAACACATTGTAACACGGTTTCCGTTTGCCAACTCCATCAAGGAATGTATGTCCTGAAAACACATATCAAATTTGGTTTCCCTATCTATAACGGATTTTGAGAAAATCTCTCCCCATCATCTCGAACGGACCGAGTTCAAACCTGTACCCCCTCCCACTACGTGGCGGGGAATAATAACATGAAATACACCTCTACCGCCTATGTTACTGGTATCTACTGCCAATCGGACAGGCATTTGAAAAACAAGGCGACTGGAGAACAGAATTCACGAGAATGGTTTCAGCCAATGACAATAGCTGACCCATACTAATTTCACTCTTTGGCCCAACAAATTACAAGTGGGGCTGCTATAGATTAGATGTTTTAGATACTGTACAGTAGTAACCAGCAACACCGAAAAATCTCATCAACTGCTTTTGTTTCTTTCACAACTGAACTGCACAACGTGTTTGTATATTATTTTGCCTCAGACATTAATGTCGTTTTAGCAGGTTGATTGCACAAAGAATATTGGCGATGGTTCTGGTTGTGCAGTTGTTGTTCAACGCCACACTCAGACACATCGCTAAATAAAGGAAGACTCTTAAAATTATCTGAAACTCTTGCCAGCGACAAACGTATAACGCATTTTGGAATCAGCAGAGAGAGTGTCTGTTTTCTCAAAACGCACAGGGTTTACCCTATTTTTGCCCTGGTAAGATGTTTCTGTTTGTTTTATGAAACAACCGACAGATCATGAGTTCAGGAGACTTAAAATCATTCAGCTGCAGATTCTGACGTCATCCCGAGTTCATGTATTCGTGTAGTGTCAAACAATGGTACTATCATCCCAAGTGGTTAATATTTTGTGTTATTACTCAAGGTTTGAAGCAGTTCAGCAAAGACATTGAGATGATGATAGGGAAACCCCTGGCAACCCCTTTCAAGATACTCTGGGCTTTCGTCCTTCCAGCAGTGCTTTTGGTAAGTGATTCAGGGGTAGATCTAAATTCAACCTGTGACATTCTACAGTTTGGCACATTTTAATATCAACATTGGGTTATCAAGGGTTTAATCTTCAAAATGTAAGAACTGATGAAAGCGGCATTTGTCAATCAATGTTTATGAACATTCTTTCGTACATTCCCGTGAAACATGACTTGTAGTTGAATGTCACTGGAATGCATGTTATTTGAGGAATCCATAATAATCAACCATTTTCCATAATCTTTTTTCAACCATTAATACTGTTTCAGGCCGTGCTCTTACTGTCCCTACTACGATATGAACCACCTTCATATGGCAAGTACACATATCCAGGTTATGCCAGTATCATTGGTTGGTTCGTTGCGTCAGCTCCACTTATTCCTCTGCCAATCTACGCCATCAAAGCAGTGAGGAAGCACCTGGTGTCCTACACATTCAAAGAGGTACCTGCCAGCGTTCAGTGTTACTGGCATTGTTAGTTTTAGATCTACAAAACAGGATATGGTTGAGGCCCATTGCTTACAATGATTTTAAGGATATCTTTAAGGATGTCTGATGCCAGTTGAAATAACATGTCAATGAATGACAGAAAAGGAGAAGGGTAACATAAAATATGTACACATATCCGGAGATCTAGGATTTTCCAGAAAAATATAAATGAACTAAAGTTGTTCGTCACTTTATCAGGGGGTCACTGATGACCAAGTAATGGACCACTGCATTTGCTGTTGTATTCACTGGAGAATTGGACATAGAAACGGATTTATTTTCTATGTAAAGTCAAACAGTAAAGTAACACATTTACATTTCAGAGTATCAAACTGGCCTTGAGGCCAGAGGACTTGTGGTGTCCAGCAGATCCACTTCGCCGAAAGGAATATCGAGACAGTTCAAAGAATACTAAGCACTCTGTGAGAAATAAGCGTTCACGTGTATAAGGGAAGGTACAGGTATAGTGAAACACCACCAACCAATGGAACGAGTGCATAAACAGCAAAATATTGCCAAGCTTACTTCTGCAGTTGTGTTGTCTCCTGGACGAGACTTAGAATAGGGAACATTCGTTACGATAATATCAGAACCTTGAACTGTCACCTTACAGCACTCATTTATACAATACAAACTCCAGTTATGGAATAACCAGAATCGGAAAAATATTGTCTTTCTTCAACACTTTATATTTCAAATACAGTGTTCAAGTAGAAAAATACACTCTTTTGTTTCTTATCTGGGAAAAGAACAGTTCTTTTAGAGCAGATGTGTTTAAAATAAATGTGTCACCTGCATGCCTTTGTCCATGTGAAGACGTCTATCACTTGTTTGTCTAATGTGTAATGCCACTAGAGTGAGTGAGTTTAGTTTTACGCCGCACTCAGCAATATTCCAGCTTTCCAGACAATCCAGTGATCAACAGCATGAGCATCGATCTGCGCAACTGGGAACCGATGACATGTGTCAACCAAGCCAGTGAGCCAGACCACCCGATCCCGTTAGTCGCCTCTTACGACAAGCATGGGTTACTGAAGGTACATTCTAACCCGGACCTTCACGGGTGCAATGCCACTAGAGCATCATTAGACAACAATATATCATCAGTTGGAGCTAAACCCTGGATTAAGACTTTTATCGGTATTACATGACATATGTATTATATTCAAAAATGTAATTTACAGCTGCGTAAGTGCACCGGATGTTTACAAATGACAAATACAAATCATTTCATGTTGTTTAGCAATATAATTTATCTAATCAACAAACAGAAACAACAGAATCGGTGTACATCAAACACGCTCACCTGTACAAATATTATATACTGAACATCATTGAAAAGGCACTACTTATAAAAGTTCAGATTATTAAAAGCACGAGTAAGGAGTTGATATTTTTTGAGTGGATAATAACAGATGGACGACTGACAAAAACAACAACACAGAAAAGACGCTCATTCATTGACATGTTCCACAGACAGAAAGGATCAAACACCCGAGGGGTCAAATCGAAAAGTCAATATCGCGTGTGACCGCCATTTGCATTCTGTCGGTTGTTTCATGAAACAAACAGAAACTTCTTAATAGGGCTAAAATAGGGTAAACGAACGTACGTTTTGAGAAAGCAGAGACTCTCTCGACTGAATTCCAAATGCGTTATAAGATTGTAGCCAAAAGTCTTCGTGTAGCTGAGATATTTCTGAGTGCGGCGTTTAACAACGACTACACAAACCAGAACCATCGCCAATATTCTTTGTGCAATCAACCTGCTAAAACGACATTTATATCTGGAGCAAAATAATATACAAACACGTTGTGGAGTTCAGTTGTGAAAGAAACCAAACCAGTTAATGAGATTTTTCGGTATGGCTGCTTACTACTGTACAGTATCTAAAACATCTATCCTATAGCAGCCCCACTCCCTAATTTGTTTGGGCAAAGAGTGAAATTAGTATGGGGCAGCTATTGTCATTGGCTGAGACCATTCTCGTGAATTCTCCTGTTCTCCAGTCGCCACGTTTTTCAAATGCCTTCCTGATTGGCAGTAGATACCAGTAACATAGGCGGTAGATGTAGTATGTTATCCCCCGACACGAAGTGGGAGGGGGTATAGGTTTGAGCTCCGTCCGTCCGAGATGATGGGGACAGATTTTCTCAAAAACCGTTATAGATAAGGAAACCAAATTTGATTTGTGTTTTCAGAACATAAATTCCTTGATGGAGTTCGAAAACGTAAACCGTGTTACAATTAGTTAGAGTTATGGCCCTTGTCATGCGTTTATTGACTTAGTGTATGTTATCCCCGATGGGAACTGATTGTCTCAGTAATCGTTATAGACAGGTGCTTTCAGGACGTATCCTGTTGAACTTGAAAAACAGGAACCAAATAGGAGCAGAACACTGTGGCGGGGGATATTGAGAACCATGTCTTGTTTCTTCGATTACAGCAAATGGTGAGATACTATGAGTGAGAGAGTTTAGTTTTAACGCAGCACTCAGCTATATTCAAGCTATATGGCGGTGGTCTGTAAATAGTGAGTCAATATTTAACGTCAAATCGGCAATTTTGCAGCCATATCTGGTTTGTGAGTCTGGACCAGACAATCCAGAGATCAACAGCATGAGCATCGATATGCATAATTGGGAATCGATAACATGTCTCAACCAAGTCTGCGAGCCTGACCTCCCTATCACGTTAGCAACAATTAACACTTCTTTGAACACATTAAGAGTCAGCAGGAGGAAACAATATGCTATTAGTATTGAAAAATTATAATTACATTGGCATGGTTATGAAATATATTGGTCTCAATGTAAGACATGACAATGGATTATACAAAATGCCTTTACTTCAGAGTTTTCAAGGATAAACATGATGAAGGTAATCTACATATTTTCTATATTCCTGGATGGAATACTATTATTTGTGAGAGCAAACTGCTAAAGTGTTTGTAAAGTACAGTTTGTTTTTATTTTTGTTAATGTAATAATTTAAAAACCTTATTTATATATCATGCTCTTAAAGTATTCAGCAATATAATACCAGACAAAAGCGTGAGATAGATCATTGGTCTGATTTGTTCAAGGTAAAAGGGATGTAGTGTTTGTGATGTAGAATCGCATTCCGTTTCGGATTCTGTATTTTGTACTGGCCCAATTTAAATACGCATGAGCATGCGCAGTGTGTCGAATGATGTGGAGTTTGAATAAACGCAAACACGTAATGTGGAGAACCCGCCTCGTGTCCGAGTGTTTGTAGTCGGCTTAAATGAAAACTGGTTACAGTAACTTGAATGAGAAGTTGGACACAGTACACCCATATCTGCGTTTTGACCTGGAGCAGTCTGACTGACGTTGTCCCCCCATCAGTTCATATAAGCCATGCCTGTCTTATTGTCAACCATAACCGATTGATCTTTGATCTCCTTGCAAAAAGTGCTAGATGAATTTCTTTCAGATCTAGATCATTGATGTACATTCTCTACTCTACCTCTGACCAGCGGCCTCCTGTTGATCCATGGTCGTATACTGCACCCCATTCCATTTCTTATGCATCTGTCTGGAGAATTACATCTGAGCTGTCAAGATTGGCTCCCCGTTGAAATTACTGAGGTTGGTCAGCCACCGCTTTAGTTCCTCCCGACAATCCTAAGGCAATATAATATTTGACTCGTAACTCGGGAACGCAAAAGCTCCTTGCTCTACGAGCCGGGGGCAAGTCCAAATGGCATGAATGGGAACTGATACAGAGTACCTTTCCCAGAGAATTGGAGAAACGTTTCCATGTGGGTTGCCATTGCTGACGTAAGCATCCTTTAGCTCAAACTTGCAAAAGGTTTTTGTTTGTGCCTCAGGCGACAAGAAGAGACGCACAATGAAGTGAGGCACATCAGAAGACGAGGCCAAACCCATTGAAATGAATAATAAAATAAGATGAAATATTTGTAATATGACAATGAAATATGGTGAAGATATGATTATAGGTGAGGTGAGGTGAAATTGGGTTTAACGTCTTTCTTGAGAATAGTTCGCTCAAATGACGACGTGTATGCGTGTGTATGTGTATGTGCGCCACCTTGTACTAGCCCAGACTGGGGGTTTGTGGTTCTGTGACAGGCCAACTAAGAGCACCATTGTATGCCAATTCCGCTTCCAGACCCCCAGTATAAATCAACGATTTCGAGCAGAGACATCATTCCATGTACATCCCATGCACCTCAACGATTTCGAGCAGAGACATCATTCGATGTACAGCCCATACGCCTCAACGATTTCAAGAGACATCATTCGATGTACAGCCCAGACCTGCACATCAATGATTTCAAGAGACATCATTCGATGTACAGCCCATGCACCTTAGAAACTCCCCCGGGGGGGTTTCGGTTCTGTTACAGGCCAACTAAGAGCGCCATTATATGCCAATTTTGTCACTCAATGTACAGCCACCTCAGAAACTCCCACTCAGTAGTTTATCAGCGTGTGTCCGTACGCGTAAGTCGTGACGCCGTCGGCGGCGATCCACCATTTGGTGTCCATTGGCGACAGCGACGTCTTGTTGCTAAGCATTTGCTAAGCATTGCTAAGCATTGCTAAGCATTGCTAAGCATTGCTAAGCATTGCTAAGCATTGCTAAGCATTTGCTGAGCATTGCTAAGCATTGCTAGGAGTTTCCTGGGAAAGGATTGGGATTCCTGGGGAGGATTGGGATTCCTGGGAGAGGATTGGGATTCCCATATAGGTATATAGGAAGTATGGTTATATATATGCCCAGGAAAAACAACCATGCCACCAAAAAGAGATTTGCCTTCGGATAAGATCCAAGAAATACGCTCCCTTCGAGGGGTGCTCCCAGCAAGCGAGGTCAAAAAGCACTTCGGTATTGGGTCCACAAGACTCTACCACATATGGAGAGATCCGATCGAGGAAACCATACCACCAATCGAAGAACCAAAAGTATCTTTGCCGGTCGACGAACCACAAAAGGTGACTCAGATAGACCGAAAGTAGCAATACCCGGTAGTACGTTACCAACCATCCAGGACTTCTACGATCGCTTGGGGAGTCTCGAGACTCGTGTGGAGCAAACCGCAAATACGTCGTCGACACCCACGAATTTGTTGGTTGATATCCTGTCGAGGCTGGACATCGACGACGACAACGAGGAAGAACTCGACGAGCAAATAGAAGAGGAACAAGAAGAGACCCATTTCAAAATACAGAAGGTAAGGCAGATGGTGGAATCGACCCAAAGATGGGCCTACATTTCGCTGGCCGCTGTTATTCTCTGGAAGGTCCTCCACAAGACCTGGAAGCACAGCAAACCAGTTTCCCCATTCCACCCACCAACCGACGAGAAGGCAGAAACACCCAGGCTCCGAGACCCCTTCCACATGTAGTAACATTCATTTAGACATTTGACTTCGCATAAGGTATACAACATGTGGCCCGTGGCTGTATGGCTGAATATTGCCACTCGCATGCCCACTGTGCAAGAAAGGGTCATGTCAATTACATATGCAAAGTATGCGGCATAGGGGTCAAAGGACATTATGGGTTGTGCAAAGACCACGGAAGGGACTTAGTTCGAAACCAACTTATTTGGGACAAGAAGAAAGACTACCTCAATGAACGTTACCGACTGCTCAGGATGAAAGTTTAAGGGACGCTTCATTTTTTGAAGGCTGACAGGTTTATCTGCACATTGAAAACACCCTATTAAACATTTGGCTCCGCATAAGGTATACACCATGACAACCGTCAGCGAACTCAAAGTTCTCGCCAAAAGTCATGGACTGAGGGGTTATTTCCGCATGAGGAAACCCCAACTGCTCACCTTGCTCGATATGAAATATACCAAGCCCCCTACCGTGCAAGACCTCAAACTCTGAGCTAAAGAATGGGGATTGAAGGGTTATTCCCGCATGAGAAGAGCCAAGCTGATCACCT